GCAGATGTCTCTAAGTGCTTCAAGGAGCTTCAAGTTTGACTCAGCCATGCCTGTATTGCCAATACACAGCTTTCCAGAAGGTTAGAAGGAAAGTTAAAAATATATTTAATACATAATTCTGCAGCAACAGCAGACAAATTTTATGATTTAGGCTGTTCCTTCTGTTGGTATCCTTGCAAAAGCTTAGGCTGGTTGCTAGGCAACTGACATTAAAAAAAAAAAAGTACATTTCTCTTTGTATTGCAGGCAGGAACCTTGGGAGCAGCAGAGGCCTCGGATGGCTCCTTAAATAGCATTGCTGGGGAATGAAAGTTAAAATATTGAACATTCATTGGTTAAAGATCCTGTTACAAAGGTCAGCTATCTTGGGGATATTCAATAGTTTGGTTTCCTTTGGTGCAAAGGAAAGATTAGAAGGGAGTTTGTCTGTGTGCTGTAGATAGTACAAAAATGGAAATTTCCTAAGATGCCTGGCTGTTGAGCAGAATACCTAGGTGGGCTCTATAATTGCCTTCAGGCTTAACTCTCTTTTCTTGACAGGAAGTGTGAAGTGAGGTGTTTGTCACATTAGCAAGTACAAATGTGTGCTTATAGATCTTAGAATGTAAGAGGTGCTTTTAAGAGGGAGTATTTGAAGCTGCTTAACTCCAGTGCTCTAATTTGATAAACACAAAGCAAAAGAAAAGGGATGGAATCAGTTCCTGTGTTAAGAGAAGTAAATGTCTTAGGGGAATAATGTTAGTGCTGAGATTCACAAAAATCTCTAAATTCAGTGAAAGCTAACAGCAAAACTACTGATTGCAGAGTTCTCAATTGCTTGCTCATTGTCTCATCTTTCTATGTCAGTTCAAGGTCATTTATAGCTAAATGGCTGTGAATCCCAGGACACAGGGAATAATAATACTTGCATTGGGATGAAATATTTCCTCCACTTCCCCACAATCCCTTTGAAATAGTGCAGTTTTTAGACAGGATGATGCAAGAAATACAGCAGCACTAGTTGTAGAAATTAATTTGTGTACTAAACTGCCAGGTAAATTGGGAAGGAGGCTGTCTACCAACACACCATCTTGAGGAACATTTTTCCTTCTGGCTGAAAAGTAGCAAAGAAGCAAAAAACTAGGGAGGTTTATGGAACCTGTGCAAGAGAAGAGCAACTGTTCATGGCACGTCACAAGTCTGTCAGACATTATTTACTGTCAGGAAATTATTCTTCCTTTAACTTATATCTGTGTTTTCTTCTAAATGTAAAATGGCTCTCTTATTTCCTTCTCTGATTGCTTTGGTATGGTGAGAGAGCAAAGGAGGGGAAAGAATGGGAATTGTGTTGGAGTAACCCAGAAAAACCATTTGGGCAGCATCTATGGGTTTACCATAACTGATGGCAAATTCTCTTGAGCCATTTGGAAAAGGAAGTAAGCAGATTAACTGTAGGATGCTCTTGGTTCCCTTCTGCCAATGTGCAAACATCTTTGAGGAGTATGCCTCCATGCTTCATTATTGAATTAGTAAATAAGGAGTGGGAGTTGTGTTCTGTGTTTGGATAGTTATTTTTCTTTACATTTTATTCACTTACAGAATTTAAAACCATGGCTACTATAATTATGCAGGAGGATGTGTCCTCTCCATCCTTCCCCAATAGCTTCCTTGTGATTCCTTGCTCTAGATGAGAGGCCAAATGAGACCTAGCTTTCTGAAGTCCTAGGGAACTGATTCTAGTGCAGTCATTATAAGCCAGCAATTAGCAGGTTAAATAGAAACACCATAAATCCTGGCTTGAATCATTATATGGGCCCCTCTGAAGCTCAGAATCATGAGTGGGAAGCATGTGCTCACTTGGAATTCAATTTCTGCTCTTCTCAAAACATGCCTCACCAATAAATCAAATTATTATTGCCTTGCAGTGAATCTCACAAACAATGCACTTGGCTGCCTGGTCCACCCACACTAAGTGAAAGAATATGTACATTTTAATTACCAGATTATTTCAATGTTGCACAAACACTGTTTCATATTAAATATTTTTACAAACCAATGATATTCAGTAATGAATGCTTGATATTTTTTCCCTGGCTATTAATGTCTGTAATTAGTATCTTTAAGAAACCTTGATATTACATGTCATGCCAGTCTCCTCTAAGTAAGGTCACTGTGGGAGTGGGATATTATTTCTCCTGTCATTCCTTGACTCATGTTTTCATCATCTGTATAAAATATCTGCTGAGTAAATTTTTCAAGGTGAAATTATATAATATCTCTTGAATTTTTAAAATGCAGCTGGGGAGAAAGGCTTCATGTCACCCTGTTTCCAAAACCACTTCTGCTCCATATGTTTAGCTGCAAATTTTATAAACTTCTTTAAAATGACATAACTTTGTAAATGTTTTAGGAGCAGTGCAGAAGCTGTGCCTCTTGCTCTGTAAATCCATGTTCAGAAGCTCTCAAGTGCATATGTAATAAAGTGACTCGACACCTGAGGTGTTTGTGTGTAGGCACAAGGTGGGACCTTCTCCTGTGCAGCACTCAGTAGTCACTGCTTTGCCGTGGCCTCCTGAGCAGGCCTGGGGCAGGACAGACATGGCAGGGCTCTGTGGTGTGAGGTGTTGGAGGCTGTGGTGTTGGCTTGTCCTGCAGACAGGGAGGGAGCAGAGTTCAAGAGGAACTCACAAGGAACACGTTGTGTCACTTCTCTTCTGGTGTAGGTCCTGCAGCTGTGGCCCAAATGAGGACAGGCCTGTCACTGCTTTGGCTTGTGCTAGTGCTGGTTGTGCTGATCACAGGAGAGCAGCCACCAGCTCCCAGGTGCCTCCAGCAGCTGCAGTGCTGGAGGGGAGCTGAGAAATGACTGCTGGGTTGAGCTTGTGTCTGTTTTTGCAAGCGTTGGCTCTGGACAGTGTATGGCCTTTCACGTATCTGGCCTTTGCAGTTCACTTTTGCATGGTGTGATGACAAGGGTTGGTGGGGTTCAGCTGCAGATATACTGGCTGTCACAGTGCATATTGTCCTGCTGTCACATTTGTTTTCTGGAAGCACCTGTGAATCTGGAATACAGGTAGGAGGGCAAGAAGATATCATCTGGCCTAGGTGCCTTATGGGATTATGCTTGGATTTCCAGCACATCCATCATGCTGCTGGGAATACCAGCTGCTTTCAATGCATTTTGTGTGAGAGGGGAATAAGATGCCACTAAAACCTGGAACACCACTTGTTCTGAACAAACAGGTGTCAGGGAGGCTCATTCTGAGGGATGCTAGTCACCTCATGGCAACAGAGCACAGCGGTGTGTGTGTTCCTGTACCTCAGGGTTGAATTACACATCTTTGTTTCTCAGAGGGATGAAGTAATGGTTCAAGCTCTAGGACAAAGTTTATTGATTTCCATCCTTGGTCTGAGACAAGCTTCCTTCTGGCTTTAGGCAAAGTGTGCATTTTGAATTTTAAATTAGCAAAGTGCTTCCTCACTTTTACTGATCCTGCCTGATGCTCTACATAAGTGTGAACAACCTGAAGAATATAGGGTGTGCTGCTGCTCTTGTTCAGACCACAAGGTTGGTACCCAAGCTTTTCAAGCAGGAGGATTTGCACCGTGCTGCTTTGGTTATGGAACCCCTCTTTGCCTTAAGGTGGGCATGGCTGGTGTACATCTGGTTTTCCATTTTTCCAGGTTCCCTTCCAAGCAAATTCCTAATCAAGCTTTTTAATTCAGTAGCAAGAAGTGGACCTTCAGTCTGTGGAGGAAGAAGCTGGCAGGTGCAGCCCACTTTAATGTGGTGGCAGGTGGGAAGGTGCTGATGGACAGTGGGAATGTGAAGCTGTGGTGTTGCTGCAGGGGATTGCAGCAGTCACCAGAGTATGTGTAGATCAGAGTTCTGGTAGGGAGAGCCCCTGGGAGTCAGGAGGAGACACCCAGGACCTGATAGGAATAGCAGATTGTTGGGCCTTGCAAGCTTCTGTTGCCAGACTTCTGTAATATTGAAAGGCCATGACTATTTAACCTTCTTCTGAGCAGGAACATTGTGTCTTGGGACTCTGTGGAAGACTTTGGGAGGAAACAGGCATGCAAGGAGAAATTCCAAGATACCCCTTGAGCTTAAGTGTGAGAAAATTTGAGTGGATTAGGGTCATTAGTGAGGTTTAAACATAAGACAAACTGTGTTTTGGGTGAAATGGGCTGAGAGTCTCTGGTGGGGCAACTCCTGTCACCTTCTTACTGTCTGAGGTGGCTTTCTCATCACTGCCTCAGACCAGAGCTTTCTTCACTCCCCTTTAAAGCATCTGAAATGTGGCAGCCATGAATGTGTGCTGTAAAACACAATGTTTGCAGAGCACATCAGATCCAATGGGCTTTGCAAGTGCTAATCTTGGAAAACATCCTCATTAATGGTAACCTAACACCAGAAAGACAGCAAGAGCTTTATGGGCTTTCTTTCTAACATGTGCTTGGGCCACCCAGTGAACAGTGTATTGATTTGCATCCACCCTTTGTATGGTGGGGTCCCAGTTGCTTTCTTGTATATTCTGGAACTGGAGAAGACACAAAACAACCTACTGAGCAGATTGCTTTAGCTGAACAAACCTCTCTGAGTGAAATTGGCCTAAAATATGAATGTACTGGAGGATAAGCTCTTTATGATCTCTTCTGGCTTACTGGAAGATGATTATATGCAAGGAAAACTACAGCAGAATTCTTGTGTATTGGGAGGGCAGAGTTAAAATAACCAGTGCATTGATAGCTAAGAAAACTGTGTCTTGTGAAGTGCACAGACAGGGCTGCCTGTTAGGCGTGTTTCCTCTGAGCGTGGGAAGAGTGTGTTTGTGTGCGTGTGTGTATGCATGGCTGCGTGTGGAGGTGGCAATAAAGTTGCTGACTTGTTGCTGACATGGGATTCTTTTCTCCACAGCACTTCTTTGTACATGTCACTGCAATGTTCTCCATGGACTCTCAACAGCATTGTCTAATCAGCCTTTTTTATTTCCTCCTCCTCTCTCCCACTCCCCCAGTCGGCATATGCTGTGTCAGTGCTCAGAGAGTGTGCTAAACTGCGACCTACAGATCCCACCGTGCCTCTGCTGGCTGCCAAGGTCTGCATTGGGTCACTGCACTGGGTAAGCAAGCTGATGCAATTCCTATTATGTAACGGATTAGGTGCTGCAGTGACAGTGCCACAGTCTAGTTGCAATGGGGAGAAAGGGAATCCCTGCTAAAATCATACACACATGTGTGCCCTTTATAAAAAATGAAAATCCCTGCAAGAAATTTTGTAGTGAGTCATTTAAATGTATTTTGCTGGCACATTGAAGAAAGGAGGAGGGGGGAAAGCCATAACAGCCATTCTGAGGGCTGCTGCTTCAACTGAGTGTCACATCGAATCAGCCACTCTTGTAGCCCCTGCAGGACACAAGTTAATAGTTATAAGTGGACTGTTGGATAGTTCAGGTCTGCTGGACAACTCAGTCCTTTGTTCTTGAAGTTGCTGTGTCAATGTTTTGTGTTCTGGATGTGTTAATGTACGCCCCAGAAGCAGAGTGGGAGTGGAAGTTGTGTGCCCGTGAAATTCTGATTATCCAAAGGAACAGAAACATCTGTCACTCTTTCTCTACTTGGTTTAATTAACTGAATGGCAGCCTGCTGTTCTCACCTGTCCTCACCACGAGGTGTCCCTGCAGTCAGTGAAGGATTACAATTGCTGAACAGAAGTAAAACAAGATGCAAGAAAACAGGAAAGAAAATGCCAGAATCATCTGCACAGATCTTTGAGAAAAGTTGTAGAAGCCAATTTGCTTCTATTCCAATTTGCTTTTGTTTTGTTCCCTTACCCCACCTGCCCACCTTCTACATCCCTGTCTGATGAAAGCTGCTGTTCAGCTAAACTTGAGGTGTATCAGTTTACACCACTGACACACCACCCAGGGAGGGTGTCTGGTTGTGTATGTTCTTGAATGAACTACACTGTTCAAACTATAGTGGTTAAGCTTATATGTGAGTCAGCAAAATCTGGGCAGCATCTTTTTCTAGGAAAAATCCTCAAGTCTGAGGACCTTAAGGGAATCCTTGCTGAACTACCCAACCTACTTCTGCTCTACGTTTGGAGCAATTTAACTCTCTTCTGTCCACAGCTCAGTCTCTAAATTTTGAAGGCTGAAAGTCATTCAGTGATATATAAAAAGATTCACAGTGAATGTTATTTTTAAAATAAAGTAAATAAGGTTTTTTTTTATTCTCAGAGGTGTTGAAACAGTGTGAAAGTGAGGCATTACAGCTGTGTTGAATGCTGTTCTTAGTATGTCTGATGAAGTTTTCAATGCACAGCTAGCATATAAAAATACCTCGTCACTTTGAGAAGACAATGAGACACTAATTCAATTCCAGCTTGGGCAATGCAGTATGTCCAGACTTCTCATACATGACAGAGCTGATAAAACAACTGGCTAACCCTAAAAAATAGCAAAGGCAAGGGGAGAAGGGAAAAATGAGCTGGTTTTGATTATTTCAAAGCAAGAGGTTTTTTTTTCTTCTATGTACTGCTTTTTTATTGTGTGAAATGCTTTTCAGTGTTATTCAAACAGACCCTGGCTCAGAACTGGGGGTATTATGAAATAAAATCACGATTTCACAAGAGGGCAATTTTAATGCAGTTATCTAGAGCACAGCCTTATGAACTAAAACCAAAATAAAAATATTCCCTCTCCCATTCTTTTCAGTCAGTGGCCTATGCTTTACCCTCATAGCAAGCTTGATGATGGTATAGAAGGGTTTTAATTAAGGGGAGTCTGAGGGAAATCAGATCATCTTTTAAAAGAACTGAAATGATAGGTTCCCACATCTCTTAGTCAAAGGGGTGCTTTTGATATTACTGCCAGACTCCTGTGCCTAATAAAGACCTTCCTGCTTAGCAGAGCTGTTTTTCTAAATGTCATCCTTACAGTAATTATTTGCATTTAAATTACATGGCAATCAAATCAGAATTGAATAATTTAAACTGGAAGTTAACAGGCTGATCAATGCCAGTATAAATAGAAAGGAAGATAGACATGGGACAGGAACAGTCTAATGGACAAATATTAGCAGTTACAAATATTCAAATACATCTTCCTTTTCAGAACATATAAAATATTATTAATTTTTCAATTAGGAAATATATCTGTGTGCTTGATTTCTGGCTAGGCAGGAAAAGGGTGAAATCAGATCACCATTTATCCAAATGAAGCAGCTAATTTATATCCTGCATCTGTCTACTGTGTGGTGCAGTACTGTAGCCAGTTTGTTTATAGCCCATGGGCAAGCAGTACTTTAGTCTTCTTTCAGCTACTAGCAATAAAAAAAACAACCCAAAATACAACATTTATGCAGATAGATAGTTACAGAATGTCATGAGAAGCACAGAACAGTTTCTTTCATGATTAATCTAGTGATCACTTAAGTCATTTTGCTGGCTTTGTACATGGTGTCTCAGCACACTTTAAGAGCAAGGAAAACAGAAAATTAATTGAAATATACTATAATGATTTACCACATTGAGGATGCTCTGATCACATCTATGAAATAATCTCTCAGTGCAGAACAAATCAAAGTGAAAACGTGGATGCATTCATACAGTGCCATGCAAATCAATATGTAGCAGACCCTGATGCAGAAAAGAGCTGAGCCTCCCCCAGCTTCTGTTGTGGCAGTATGACTAGATCATTAACTGATGCAAGTTGGCAGTACTCTGCTGGCATGTTAGGGGTACCCTGCTGGCTTACATCAGATGATCTGCCCCATCAACTGCTAGCTTCTAGGATTGGGCCTGCAGTAAACAACTGAGTGGCATAAGCACTGTTTTGGCTCCCTTTTTCAGAATTAGAGGTAATAAAAAAAATCCACTGTAAACAATAAATCAATACTTCATTAATTCTAAAGCTTGAGCCAGTAGACTTGGAGGACCAGAAAAGCTTCAAAATGAATGTACATATGTAAACCACATTTGTATGGTCAGGATGCAGTCAAACCTATCCAGCAAAGTTGGAACCTCTGTATTGTATCTAAACTATTACACAGGTGTTTTAAATGCTTTTGTAGTAGGCTCAGAATTATTTTGAGGTAACATGCTGCTAAAACTTCCAGCTTGCTGGGGTTTCAGCACAGCAGTTGGCTGGACTTGCACATGGATGATTCTATCAAGCAAACACAAAGCCCATTTGTGTTTAGCCAGCTGTCTTTTAACTTTCCAGAATGCACTGTGAAGTCTTTGACTATTGTAGGTCAGAGTATTGTTTTAAATTTCCATAGAAGAGTTGAGGTAGCTTGCACTGGAACATGTCCATCCTGAGGTTGCTTTGCCTTGCTCCACTATAAATTCAGAGTTCTGCTCACTAAAAGGCTTGCTGCAATTTCCTCTTTCACTCAGCCTTCCCTGGCATGGTCTCAGCTGAATGCTCACTTGCCTATTTTGGCAATGACTTTGAGTTGCAGTATGAGTTGTTGTTTTTAATATTTTAATAGTACAGTTCTGTTAATTTCACTACTAATCTAGGTTCTCCAGGATGCTGTTATTGCAGGTATTGTGAAAATACTAAAAATGGAACTTCTTCCTACAAACAAGCATTAAATACTGAATTTCTCCATTTTTGGAAGCCATGTTTGAGGTGTTTAGGATTACCCTGATGCTTTCTTTTGCCTTTTACTCAATTGATATCAATGGAGGCATGTTGAATATATTGTAAACACACATAGAGCGAAATGGACTGTAGTCCTAGGATAGGCTTGACTCTTCTAGAACTCTACTGTGACAAGAATCAGGAAGACATGATTCTCATGATTCAGGCCATGTCTGTCATTTTAATTGCTTCACAGTTGATACAATAGTGGTGGTGTGCTAAGCTTGTGTAGCATCAAATGATGCCTGTATTATCAGCTAATAGAAGCTTTTCAAAGGACTTTGTCCCATGGCAAAAGCTGCAGCACAGGATGGTGCTGTACCTCATATTTCCCTCATTTCTTTGAACTAGTATGCACAGCCAAGTGCTCTACTGCAGCACTTTGCTGGGAAGGCAGAGATCATGCCATCAGTCAGGGAAAGGGAGAAGTGGTGGTGTTGGGCCAGGGCAGGCTGTGCATGGAGTTATAAAAACAGAGTGGGACATGCCATGAGGTCGGGATGTCATGGTGTGTGTGTGTCAGGGGGGTTGGCAGGATGCAGATTTAGAGCTGCATACTCCTGAGGTGACAGCTTACCATTCATTACTTTCACAGAGCACTTCATCAGAGGGTGCTTCTCTCCCCTTCTGTCTGTTGTTGACCCTGCCACTATAGATAATAAATGCTGTGCATGTGCTGGTACCCAGTCACTTAGGAGCTCTGGAGTCACCTGGAAATGCTTAGATCATAGTGCAGTATGAATAATATTAAAAGATGAAATCTAGTCCCATTACTGGAGTTACTCTGCCTACTGACAGACATCTGAGAGGATCAGCATCACCAGAGTGGGAGGCTGCTGAGAAAGCAGGGAAGGGCAAGGAGCTGCTAGGTATTTCTTCTGTCTTTTAGAAGACATTCTTGATTACATCACCACTGCTGTTCTGGGGCAATCCCGTGGGTTTTAGACATTAAAAATGACCAATAATTTTGTCTTCAATACATTGCCTTTGTGAACAAACCACTTTAGCTACAGTGGAGGAAAAGCCTGAGTATTCCTAAGTGCTGGGGGCTGAGTTTACACAGACTAAAATGTTGGGCTTAACAATGGTGACACAGAGAGCAAATGCTGACTAGACCAGCAATAGAAAGCACAGGATTTTTTTTCTGACATACATAACATGATTGGCTTTGTGTGCTGTAAACAGCTGTGGGACAAAACCTTTTCTTTAGACTATGCCTTGTGGACCTCTTTCTTCCTATGCATGTTTCTTCTTATCTTTTTCATTCCACTATATTTATATTCTTCTCTTTGAATTAGTCTCTATAGCTACAACCCAGTGTAACTAAAATGCTAAGAGGTCAGTTTAACTGGTTAACATCATGTGTAATTTTGTATACATACCCATTCTGTAGGATTTTGATCTTTTAAGTGCTTGGGTATTGTTCAGTGTCATGGGTGTCCAAATTCACCTGCTTCATTAACCTTGTCTGCTGTCCTAAGTCCAGTGTCATTTGATGCATTCCCTACCTCCTCCTTAGTGTGCTCCTCGTCTTTGGCACATTAAAATGCTGTTTTCATCCTGCTGTACATCACTGATTTGTTTGTCCTTAGTTACTCTAAATGTGTGCTGGTGAGAAGTGCAATTTCTACTTAGTCCTGCAAGCTGTTGATTTAGTGGGGTAGGGCTTGAGCTTTTCTAAAAACAATCTGGGTGGCAGTTGGACACCAGCTGGGTGGCATTAGGCCAGGGGACAGCACCTGCTGTTCTCCACTCCCTTGTCAGTATGCCTCCGGGCTTGGCTTGAGCACACACCAAAACCTGTGGCCAAATAACAGTGGTGGCTGGAACAGCCACTCTCTGTACCAGGGGAAACATCCCTCGGGGTAGCACAGCTAGCAACTGTTCTTTTTCTTTCAAATATGAAGGAGGAAGTGAAAGGGGAAAAAAGCCCAACCAGCCCCAGAGCATTACCATCTCATTGGTGTCAGTTCACAGTTTGGCAGCCTGTCTCTCTCCAGGTGCCAGGTGTTTGCTTTCTGGTGTGATAGAGGGGTTGCTTAGCTAGTGGTTCCAGGTGCCTCCTGACACTTTATATAGCTGGAGTTTAAAATGCAGAAAGTTCTTTTTAGGTTGTTTTTTCCCCATGTTGTCTTTCTTGCATGCAAGTTTTGGAGGCAGGGAGCTTCTCCCTGCAGCCTGGAATGCTGCCTTTCTCTCTACCAGCTTTTCAGTGCAAAGTATGTAGAAAAATGTTAGAACAGCAAGGACCAGATTGGAGGGAGGGCTTTGAGATTTCGTTTTTTGTTGCTTCTAAGAGAATAACATGGTAGGCCTTCCCTCCTCCCTTTCTCATCTCCACAGTGCAGACTGAAGGCACCCCATATCTGTACGGACCCCCCAGACACAGCTTTAGTGGCAGATCACAGGTCAGGCTCACTACTGGTCCCTCATTGGGTGCATGGAGAGGGAGCTTTTATCCAGACTGCAGTCTGGTGGTCCCTGCAGTTTAGTTGGTTACCCCAAATGTGTCCCAAGGGGGTTGTTCCTGTTTCAGGTAGTACTTGCCAGATTCACAGTTGACTAGGCCATCTGCAAGATTGATGCACTGGAGAGTTGAAACATCACAGTGGGTGATGTGAGTGAAAGGTTTGGCTTTTCACACTTGCCCAGAATGACTGAAGAGTAGGAGAATGGGAGAAGAGGGGGCAGATGGCTGCCACAGCAGGGCTGGCAGGGAGAAGTGTCTGAGTGCTGTAAGAAGGAAAAGTAAATGTTGTCATAAACAGAACCAGCTGTGCTGGAGTTTGTGAGGCCACTTATTTTCAAAGCAGACTTCAGCTGACCCAGGTTTGCATTCATAAGAATCTTTGTGGCTGGTCAAAGTGCCATTAGGGTTTAGTATGAATAAATGTTCACAAGAATGTGCTAGAAGTGCTGTTTCAGCCACTCTGAAAAGTTATGGTTTTAATTATTTATTCATTAGATTAATCTGATACTGACAGGTGGCCCTGGCTAACTGGCAGGCAGGAAGGCTGAATGGTGCACTACTGATTTGTGCAGTATAGGTATTTCCAGTCAGAAACTGGAATTACCATCAGGTGACCATTCAGAGAAACAATGGAACAAAATCTCTCCAATTTTACATGTCTTTGTTTTCATTTCAGCTTCAAACTTTTCATTCATTTTTTCCATGCACTCTACCCATTCTCTTGTTCACTAGTCATTTGAATACCTTGTAGAGCTCTTTTCTTTGTCTAATGGACACTTCTTGGATGAAAGTGTGTGTGGGGAGAAGAGGAGAAACAATAAAGAGAGAGAGTGAGAATATAGCTGTTTATGGTGGCAAAGAGGTGCATAATGAATTTTCAAGCTGCAGAGATTTCATGTCTTATGTAAAAGTTTCTGAGAGGTGAAGAATTTAGTTATAATATAGGAAGGGTTTTTGTTGTTCATTTGTGGGTTTTGTTTTTTGGGTTTTTTCTATGTGGCAAGTCATGGCTCACTTCTTCATTGTCCTAGGCTCTGGTCCAGGACACATTTCAGTATGTGGCAGGGAAGCTGCTGGGGCTACTGACAGGTTAAGAAATCTGAAACAAATCTCAGTCTTCCTGATGTGATCAGAGTTTAAGGGTTCTGTCTCAACATTGCTGAAGTAGGTGGGACTATTTCCAGTGGTTTTGGTAAGCTTTGGATTACACCCTCAAAGACAGGCCTTGCAGTTTACTTGGTGAGTCCCAATATTCCTCAAGAGGTGTTCCTGTGTCAGTTAGTGGCTTCCACAGTCACAGCTGATGGGGCAATGAGGAGCGCTAATGCTTTCAGGAAAGGGTTTGATGGTAACATATGTGTTGGTTGTTGGACTGACTGATCTGAGGTTTCAGAAATTGGGGAATAATTGTTCTACATCTAGTTTGAATCCTGTGGCCTCAGGGAGTTGCACCAGTGGGAAGAAATTCAAGCAGTGGAGATTTGCTTCTTCACTTGCAGTTTTCAGGCTTTCTTCAGTTTTATGTTAAAAGTAATTTTATTCTAATGTTTGCTATCATCTAATAAATCCAGGTGGTTTGTTTATGAAGCCATTAGTTAATGTTGTCACCTGAATGTTTTCAAGTGATGGGATTAGGAGGCTCATTGATAGGATGCTACATCAAGTCACGTAGATTTTGTTCATAGGTAGTGTATTAACAGATCACTGCAGAAGGCCAATTTCTTGTCTGATGGTGCATTTTAATTCCAGGTTGTTATGAGTGAGTCATTTTAGATATTAAGGAGCCATGAGGTGCTGAAGTCTGACAATGCTGAGTATGAAGAGGGCACACATCCACAGTACTTGTGTCTAAACTAGGTGGATTTCCAACAAAAAAAGTACTTTCTCAAAATTAAACAGCCCCATCCCATAAAGTCAGTTGTGATGTAATTAAAGTTTCCAAAGGGAGGATTTGTCAGATAGTGTAATAGTGTCTGCTTCTTGATTAGGGATGACTCTGATCATGGGTGACAGGATCTGCATACTGTCTTGTACAGAAATGAGATCTTCCTGTAGGCTCTATCTTTCAGGCATTACTTACAAGTTTTGCCAGTGTCTCTCCAACCTACGCCTTTCAATGTATATACAGTGTACAGGTCTTTGTCTTTTCTACTTAAAATGGGTGAGTGAAATTAGTAAGAGTTTAAAGTTAGAAATGAGAAACACTCCATTCTATAATAATATTTAACTTATTCTTTTTATTTAAAATTGCCAGTAACTCGGATTTTACAGATGCTGATAGATATGTGTTGAAAGGAAGGCTGTGGAGAGCAGTCTGTGATGTAGTGGAAGAGACCAGCTTACATATTTCATCACTTTGGAGGCTGATCCTGAGCGATTGTGACTGCTCTCTCCTCCAATCTCTATCTATAATATAAAATGCATTTTCAAGGAAATTGTGTCTTTGCAAAGGATGCAGAAAGTGGTTAGTGCAGCCAGAACTGCCGAGGTAGTGTGTTTGTTCAGATCAAAATTTGTGTTCTGAAATTTCTGCGTCCTTTTGGCAACAGAATTTCAAGCAGCAGCTGAGAGCTTTCAGTGAAGTTAGTGGTTTCTTGTTTTATTCTAATATTTGAAAAGACAGTAAAATTTGCTAAGGTTTAAAAAAATCAGACAGCAAAACTGAATGGTTTTCTTTTGAAGGAAGAAACCTGTTAGACCTTTCAATGCCCTACTAGGATATCATATATGTAGTCCAGCTGATCCAGTGTTTGCATTTTAGGCTGCATGATTGAAGTGTGCCTGAGGGAAGCTATAAAAAAAGATCATGTCCTTGATTAATCTTAAACATCTGGAAAGAGTTTGGGGTGCAAACCCCAAACTTTTCTTAAAACTGTGCATGTGCACCAAGATCTGCTCATCTGACCTTCTACATTCTCCTTTTTATGAGTGTTCACTGGGATCACTGGGAGCCCTTGTGTGAATGACTCTCAGATCACTTGCAGGTAAGGCTAATGGTGAATTTTATTGGAGCAAATATAGAGGAAATGCCTTTAAGTCTCAACCTACCTCTTTTGCAGCTGGAAGAAGCAGAACAATTTGCTAAAATGGTGATAGACCTGGGGGAGGATGCTGGAGAGTCCCTGGCAAAGGGTTACCTGGCACTGGGCCTGACATACAGCCTTCAAGCTACTGATGGTGAGTTACTTCTTTGTCAAGTGTGTTACATGGAGAGCATTTGTTCCAAGTCTTCAGTGCAAGCAATTGGAATTTATTGGAAAATCTGCCTTCAGTGCTGACTAGACATTGAAAAGCAATCAGATCACAAGATAAATGGGAATTGTTCACATGCTCAGAGAGCTTCTTCTGTGATAATTAAAATGAAGTTATTAGGTAAAGGGAGAAATGCAGGTCATTACTTAGGGGGTGATTATCTGAGTGTAGCTGACAATGCTTGGTGTGTTTTACTTGAATATTTGTAATACATTTTTTTCACTTAATTTACACAACCAAAAGTCAATTTTTCCATCTGTTTTCATATTTTTGTCACCCACTCATAAATCATAAAGAAATACAATCCAAGAACTGGAGTCAGAAATGCCTCACTTCAGTTCCTGGCATGATACTGATTCCCCACAGAGATTCAACCTCTCTGTGATGGAGTTTCTTTTACTTAGAAGTAAACAAGATAAAAATATCTACCTTGCTAGTACATGTGGATGTTGACTAGAAACAGACCACTGAATGTAAGAAGTATTTTATTTTAACTGCTTACTTGGATCTTGAATGAGTGGACAAGGGGCTTCTGCAGATTTGGTGCTTTGTAGGGCTTGAAGTGTTTGGGAGAGTTCTAGCTCTGACCTTCATCAAGCTCTCAGTGGGAACAGTCTTTGTTTATTCTGTGACTTCTAACATGGGTAGAAGATATGTTCTAACACATTTTCTTTGAATAATGGCTGAGCTGGTTTGTTTCCTAATGATTTTGGCAGTCATGCCCTCATGCAAGCAATGGCTTTTCTCTCATAGAGGTTCCACAGAAACAAACCAACTATTTCAAAGTTGATTCAGCAAAGAAGCCTGAATCAAAGCTAAATTACTCCATCATGCTATCATGGAATATGCAGGCCTTGCAACTTACACCAGAATTCTGCAAGGCATGTGTCTGAGAAAGTGTTCTTGTGCTCCTCAGTAGCACAAGTTGGTGTAGTTTTACAGCCAGCCATATCTGATCAGCTGTTCTGAGAACTGCATTTCATCATGGAGGCTTACAGGCACTGCAGCTCTCTCCAGTTCTCCATTTCTCTGCCTCAGAGTAGTTCTCCCTAGAAAGTTCATGTCAAAAAGTATGTCCTTCCTAGCCTGAACTTTGTCTTACATATATATTTTAAGTCCACTAGGAATAGAGCTCTACTTAACAGCCTAGTTTTTAAGGCATTTTGCGTAGACGTCGTTTAAACTGTTATAAAGCTATACAAGATCCCATAGACTATTTTCAGGGATAGAAGGTTTTCTATGTCAGCCCCTTATGATCTCTTTGTAAACTTCAGTATGAAAAGAAGGTGATTTCTAAAGAATGGAGAGGCATGTACTGTACTCTAGCTCTAAAAATATTTTGGCGCAGCAAAGTATGAGTTGGAAACTTTTTCTGGAAACCTCCTGAGTTTTCAAGAGACTAGTTCAATATTGTGTCCTTTTTAATGTAAAACAAACAGTCTTCACAACAGCTGCCTTGGATTATTTTCAGATTAGCCTCTCATTTATGTTTTGAAACAGTGGAATATATCTGCCTTCTCACTCTATCTCTAGCCTTTAAGACAACAGGACAAGTCACTCAGTTATTGGAGGGAAGTAGGAAGAGTATATTTCCATTTTGCAGATTATATTTTAATAAAATGGATTAAGTCCTTCAAATGCATACATATGATGGTCATGAATATGGAACTGTGTTTCACTAGAAAATGTCAAATTTGCACTAGCAAGACATTTTGCATTAGCATTGTTAAAAAATAGCATATGACAGTGAGGAAGCAAAGCTAGAACATGCTGAAAGACAGCAGTTCTGTGATGTAATCCTGTCTCGTGTTGTCAGTCTTGTTTATCATTGTATTTATACCAGTTCTTACTGACATATGCAGACAAGTCAAACATCTATGTGTGTGTATATATGAGATTCCTGTAACTTTCTAGTTGAGATGACTTTCAGTCAATCAGTATTTTCAGTAGTAGCTAAGTGTTTGAGACATTTGACCAATTTCCTTCCAAAGCTTTCAGCCTTCCATCCAAGTTAGACTTTCTTATTTAATATAACTTTCTCGTAATTATTTCTCCTCCTGTGTGACAAAGGCACTGAGGAGTTGTATTAAAGCCTTTTCATTGTGATTTGCAAAAAGCTCCTGTAGGAAGTAAGATTTCCAGAAACTTATGCTGGAAAGCATCCTTATTCTTAATGTTTAATTACATGTTTCTTGAAATAAGTCTCATTGAAGTAGCTGAAAGATGTGTCCTCAGAGGAAGTCATTGACACTTTTACACTTTTGCCTCAGTCTTAGAAGCCCAAGCCTCCTGTGCATAGTTAATGTTCATTTTCTGCAGATCACTTTCCAATGTCAGTTGTCAATGACAACAGCAAACCATTCCCTCTTCCTCCCATACTTCCAGTTTTGACATAAGCTGTATTGTCAACTTTTCCTCCCTTAGGTCTGGTGAAGAATTCACTGAAGACAGGGAAAGGTGACATGAATTTACCAAAGGCTGAAGAGGAAAGACTAGGTTGAGAATGTATTGTGAAATACAAGTGCTCTTCTTAGCTCACATCACCATCTCACAAATTGTGAAATCTTTTTATATGTAACAGTCCCTCATTCTTTTTTCAAAGATGAGTGTGCTGTATCTCTGTTTTCATTTAGAATTTTGGTAGAAGGTCATGGATCAGGGACTGAATTAGAAACTCATTCTATCAGTCTTTGTGGATTTCACAGTCAGTGTACTGACAGCACTGGTTAATGTTAAGCCCCCACCCCCGAAGTCAATAAATTATTAGTGAACAAACTTGGTCTTTGCTTTTGGAAATAACAGTGCATGCAATTTTTAATTATAATTCTGGGTGCTTAAAATGTATGTTGTGCCATATTAGATGTCTTAACACAAGGGAATAATTTCTGAAACTCAGTCATATTTGCAAAAGGGTGCATATATGTCATTGTTTTAGTTTGGATCAGAAATTTATTTATGAAGTCCATTTATTTGTCATCCCCACTTCTTACATTGTGAGTCACATACAGGAACAGTTTTGCACATTACAAACTGAATCCTTTCCCACAAAACAAATGTTTTACATAAATAGACCTGACTGTGCTTCAGCTGCTAATGGGTGCCCAATCCATTGGACAAGATTAGAACTAGATTCCTGTCCCCATGTTTGTGGAGTTGATTCTGATCTTTGGCACTGTGTTTCATTCCATGCATTCACTACTCCTGCTGTGCTCGAACTGCTTTTACTAAGACAGAGCTTGTCCTCCTGTGTTTCTAAATGGGATCCAGAGCTTTGTATTTAGGTACAAAATGCTGCTGAAGAGCCTATTGAATTTTAGTAAGGCTGAAGCTGCTTTAAAAACACAGATTGCTTCAGAAAATGAATCTTGGGCTGCTCAAGTGGCATTTGCAAGAGTCTTACGGGTTTCAGAAACTCCCCTGTGCCACTCTTCCATTGGTCAGACTGCTTTTGGAGCTTATTTTAATCTTAGTAATAAGTAATATTTTGTTTTAGTTGACGGAACTGCAGCAGCCGTGCTTACAGGAAGTAACGTTGGGTAGGGACTGAAGAATTCTTTGATACCATTGACCTGGGAGAATGGAGCACAAATTTTAAAAGTTTAATCAGACACACCAGGCTCTGTTTCCTTAGTGCAGACTTTTCTTTGTCTGAAGTGAGAGCTTCTCAGTGATACAAGTGGGTTGCAGATTTCTTTGAATACTTCAGGGGTAGGGTATCTGCAATATCTTGGGGCAGCCTGTTTCAGAGTCTTGCCACCCTCCTAGTAAAGAATTTCTTCCTGTATATAATCTAAATTTTCCCTCTTCTAGTTTAAAACCATTGCCCCTTGTCCTGTCTTTATAGGACCTGGTGAAAAAAATAACTCTGTCTTTCTTAAAAACCCCCTTGAAGTATTAAGAGGGCCTCCCTTGACCCTTCTCCAGACTGAAAAATGACAACTCTCTCAACTTTTCTGTATAGGAGACGTCTTCCAGCCCTCCAGCCATTTTCATGGCCCTTTTTTGGATTTGTTCCAATGGAACCACATCTTCTGTTGTGGATGCCAAGCTGCACACAGCATTCCAACTTTGTGGTAGCTGAAGATGCAGTCCATATTGTGGGAGGTGGCAGTCACGTGCTGTTTCCCAGTAATGCAGAGGCAAAGCTGACTAGTTGCAGAGTAATCACATCATTTCCACAACATATTTTGTGTTCTTTCTAACTACAAACTGAACATTAGTCAAATGTCTTAACAGGTGGAAGCTCAAAGTTCTAGCTTTTCCATTTGGTGTTTAATTTGAGGGACAACTGGCAATATTTCTTTCAGTCTTTCTTATTGTGTGACATCTTCAGAATTGCTGTGTAATTTAAAGAATGGTAGTTTTCATGAGAAACAGAATGTCAGATTTTTTTCTGTAGGGATGTTTATAGGTATGATCAAATCCTTTCCAATGTCTCCTCAAGCATTTTTGTTTACATCAATCTTGGTTCTTTAATTTATTTCCAAATTTTCTCCCTTTGTTACCTTTATCCAGTATTTTGCAGCCTGATTTAAGGCTACTGAGAGTGATATATTTTTAATAGATGCTGCATTTTACATGAAAGTCCATGTCTTAAAATGTATTATTTAAAATACAAGTTTTTGGATAAGTTTTTTATCTTAGAGTAGGTTTTGTGGCCTAAACAAGTTCTGATCTTTATGATTAGGAAATCCTGAAGATTGCTGTTCCTCCCAAATGAACCTGGTATTCTGAAGAACTGTTGGAAGATGTAGAAGTACAAAAGGTCTGATCACTATAGCTACTGCAACAAATAATTTACTTACAAAATTTCACTCACTGGCATATTGCAGAATGCAAAGAAACTGGTTACCTTTGCAGGTCTTGCAGAAGAACACATCTCTTTTCTTCTTAATAACTTTTAAGAATACTTGAATTTCACTGGGTTTGTTGCATTATTTTATACTACTTAGTAACTTGCAATTTTGGCGCATACACTGACTTGATGTATCAATTCAGATACATTCACGGGTGAGGTTTGCTGATAGATTAACTAGTCATCACTTCCTTATGCTGTTGATCAACAGCTCTCAATTTCAGGATAGGCAAAACAAGAAACAGCTGCCATGCAAGAACCAGAACAAGACAGCCAATGCATTTCTAAAAATCATCACTAGGTTTCCAGATGTTTTGCATCTGAGAAAGCCATGTTCCTTTAAGCTCTTCCTCTGTTCCTGTTGATCTTGATGATGATTTCTTACGATACCCAGGTATAACAAGAGCTTGATTCTTCTCTTCCTTTTCTGGTTTTAGGTAGGAATTAATTTATACATTGATACATGTGTGTACTGGGCAGGATCCATTAATCAAGCAATTAGAGATATGGAAGAAGGGCATTAGTGGCTAATGCCGCATCTGAAGTAACCTGAAGTCTGTTGTGGTCTCAGAGATGGTGGTGTTTTGTCACAGAGCTGTAAGTTTGGCTGCTGGTGTTCCCAGTTACACCTGCAGCACCCTCCTATGAAGATGGTGGTGAATGTGTACATTCTGTACACGTACTGTACCTGAATCAGAATGTGATGCAGGTTACTGCTAGTAGCATTTGCAGCAGTCTGGCTGAGGACCTGTTATTTTCTTGGTATCTAGTTAGTGTTTGACCCCTTCTCCCAGCCCCCTTCAGTGGCATATATAAATAAAAAATGCTTCAGTGTTTCAAACAAAGGACTTAAAATAATCTTTAATAAAAATGAATTTGAGAATTCATGTCAAAATGAGAACATGCACAAACACACAGAGATTTCCATACTGTTCATGCTCCCAGTTTGGATACTCTATATATTTATTTATTTGATCTGAAACATTGAATTAACACTTAAATGGTATTGTATCTTGTCCTACAGCTACTCTAAAGAGCACTCAGGATGAATTAAACAAGAAAGCACTTCAGTCTTTGGAGAGGTGAGTAGGAATTTTGCAGATACTTGCTTTGTGCATTTTTTTCATTAATTCAGAAATTTTTTTCTTTTTATGTTACTTTTTCCTCTGTGTAAGTCTTCCGTGCTGGAAGATTTGAAAACAGTTCATTAGATTTCAGCAGTAGTCTGTCAAAACGATTTTTGTGATGGCTAAATGCAGTGATTATTTGATTGAATATCCAAGGTAAGTGTACTGTTCTGCCACCTTACAGAAAAAAACCTTAGCCTCAAATTAGCTGCAGTGAGATCTACAGTGCTGGGACATGCAGCTTCCTCACATGATGCCAGCTGGCAGACGTGGAAAGCTAATTTTGTCTCAATTCCTGTGTGAAGCAGGCTTAAAATCCTCTTTCCATCATGGTGGGAAAGTACCTCCACCATCAGGGTGTAAGCAGCTATGGGTGACCTGGCACCAGGGCACCTAGGGGAGAGAATAATTGCTGTCCTAATGAGTGTTTATATCAGCTGTTGTTGGAAGAGGAGGTTCTAGAGCTAGTGGAACAAAGCAGGCAGCACTCACCTCTCCTTCATCCCTATATTTTTGGGGAAAACATACAATGGCTGCACTCTGGAAGCGACTGTGCACTCTTGTGCAACTACACTTGAGACCTCAAGTACAACTGCTTGATTTAAAACCCTTTTTTGTCCATTCTGTGGGGTAGAGCATTAAGGTATGAGCTTCCTGACTCTGTTATGATTAAGTTACACCATCCAAAATACACTAGGTGGTGTTCAGGCAGTTACTTACATTTGTACAATTACTTTCACAATTTACAACCCACTGTAAATGTAGATGCCTACAGACTATAGATGGCAATTAAATGGAAGCTTATGTGGTCTAAGTCTTGGGCTGAAGGATCTAATTCTGAGTTTATTGTTGTTATAATTACATAAGTGAAGAAAACTTGAGATCTCTGGTATCTCAAAGTACAGGTTAAACAATTTGAACAATGTTAAAAGATCTTAGCTGTTTTGCTGATGCTGGCCAAGAAGGAGCCCAGCATGTTTGTCTTACACTGGTTTTGTAGTGATTGCAAGAACTGAAACCACAGATACAATTCTGGGTGTTTACCTTATGGAGATTTGAGAGAGAAAACTTCTAAAAGCCATTTATTCATTCACTATTTGGATGAGGAGTGTACTTTTACTTTTAAGTCACACTAGTTTGTGGACTCCAGTGTCATACATGAACTGCTAACCAATTTTAAGGAATTGTGGTGCTGCACTGCTTTTCAACTTCCTTGTTTTTTATCCTGGGACCTTTCTCATTGGCTGTGACTTGTTTTCATGGTATCTTAACTCTACCTAGGAGGCAGACAAGCTTCTAGCCAAACATTAGTTACTCAAACATCAGCCAACAGGAATGTGACAGTGAGCTGATTACTAGTGTTTTCTAAATGCTTAAGTTTGGTTTCCTTCCTTTTTGTACCTTCCTTGCTTTTTGTCTTTTTTTGAAGAGCCTGTATGATCTCTCAGGCCATAGTTTGGCCTGTAGTCATCTCAGTAAGGGGCCTTTTCAGCTGGAAGATTGCACCAAATGTTTTTCTAATTCCTTCTGAGGAAAATGAGCAGTAAAGTAACAATCCTTTGTTTCTTTCCAAAAGCACCATTAATTTCATCTGCTATATTCTTGTGAACTTTCCCCTGTTACTCATTGCTGGAGAGGCTACTGAAGGTTTCACAAGAGACACTTTGTAAAGAGGTGACTCACCCTGTCTAACACCTTAGGGCAAAGCTGGGTTCTACCTTGTGGAGTTTTGTTGTTTGTTGCAACCTTGGGGGGGGTTGGGGATTTTTTTGGTGGGGGGGGTTGTGACTATTTGGGTTTGGGAGTTTTTTTGTATTTTTTGAAGTGGAAGGAGAAATTAGTGACTCACCTGTACTAATTGCACATTGATGTCTTTGGCATTGCTTCAGAACACTTGAGTGCCACCTTGACTTAGAGAGTTACAGGACATATTCAGTCCATACTAAATTAATTTGTTCTAGAGCTTTTAGTTATAAAAATCAGCTTCAAAATCTTCTTGCTCACAGGCCAAGATGGTATTTGAAAAGTGGCTGCCATTAAAATGGTGTGTGGTTTGTTTCCTGAAGGAATTACTTTATTGCTACTTGTTTATTATTAGCAAATCAATAGTTTTGGCATGGGTTTTAACCACCAGTGTTGTCAGCCTGTCGTTTCTCCCTCATAAGGACATTAATTGTGCTCACTTTGGGCCTGGCAGTGCAGGTGCAGGTTTCCCTGGTGTCCTGGAATGCAGCCCAGAAAGAGGTCAGGAAATGTTAACTGGCTATGAGGGACCTTCCTCTTCCCCATTTCTCCCATGTGAAATGATTTCCCTGTGCTGCAGAGCTGTGAGTGAGCTCTGTGAGTCACAAGGGGAGAATCCACTGGCTCCTGGAGTGGGCTGCCAGGTGGCATCAGCTGCTGCCCCACCTTTCCTCCTAGATTGGGTTCCCCCAGACACTATCCCAGCATTCCCTTGGTTACTGGCTTCTCCACAGGCTAGCAAATTCATACTGCAGTTTCGTGCCTAGCATAGTCTGAGAGGGGACAGTTCTGCCTAGGCTGTCCATCCCTGTTCCCTGCCTTGTACAAGGCTTTGCTAAAGGCCTGCACATCTGGTTCTGCAGACACTGCAGCCTTCTCTAGCCAGGGCTTCACTTCAGTGTAGTGCCTGCTGTGGGCTGGAAGGGGTATCTCAGAGTCCAAGCTTGACAAGTAAGGGCCTTGGTGTTGGTCCAGGCACAGCTCCTGTCATCAAATCATTCCTCCCTCAGTGTCTTCCCTTTCCAAATTAGGAGTCTGCTGTCAAAAATTAAACTAGAAGCTGCAGGGTGGAGAATGTTTTGTATGTTTGAGCACCAGTTTGTGTCACAGGCTCCTGATCTTTAGTCCTCTACATGCTCATAGTGATTACTTTTTCAGTGTTAATCCAACCCTCTCTTAATGTTTAAAAGTGGCAGTATAAGAACAACTTAGACAACTATGTCTATCACCTGAATTACTTAAAATAATGCTTTGATAGGTTTGTTATGCACTCAGAGCTACTTTTTCCATATTAGTTATCCAAGTTCCAAAATATTAAGTGGCATTTAATAAAGGAGCATGTAAGTTGTATAACATCCTGGCAGCTGTGTTTCTCATACTTTTTCCTGGGATTCTGGCTTAGCCAGAGCAGCACTGTTCTGCTTTTTGTCTAGTTTCAGTGTGCTCCCCATTACTGGACTAGCTTTCTGTGGGGGAAGACTGGGTTTTGTTCTGTGCTAATGTGACTCATGGTGAAGGAGTTCTGCAAAGTGCAATCTAACAGTCACTTTTCTTTTTGTCTTATGTGGTTGTCCTTAAAGAGCACATGACCTGGCCCCCGAAGATCACCAGATCATCCTCTACCTGTCACTGCAGCTGGCTCTTGTCAGACAGGTATGTGAAATATTTGGAAATCACTGGGTCATGGGAGGATGGAAGGACAGTCCAGTTGAACAAGACCCAGGCTTGCTACACAGGGTCCCTTCCTTCCTGCGTTGTAACCGGTGACAAGCAGTCAGAATATGTTTATGAAAAATATTTTTTAATTCTTACTCTAAAAATAATAATTCTGTGGCACATGGAATGGCCTTCCCTGGGGAATGTGTTCAGCTCTGGCTCCTGAGCAGTCTTGGAGCAGCCTTGTGTGTGTGGGATGAGGAGGTGTGTTTGTTGCTGCTCCCTGGTGTCACTGTCCCACACAGGCCGCTCCAGAGGCTGTCCCGTTGTGCCCGGCTCCGTGCGGTGCCAGATCGCGCGCTGGGATCGCTTTATTCCAAACTTGGGCACGTTTGACGCCAGGCTCTGACGCGTACTGGAGCTCTGCAGAGAGTGGGATTAGTTGGCATTTGAATGCTGCTGCAGGTGTTAGCTCATAAAAGTGAAGCTGATCAGAAAATGCTCTGCACTGCCTTTCAAAAAAAAAACCCAACCACTTGGGCTGTGCTTTATTTTTCTGCCCCTTTTTTCTTAAGACTGGGGTGTTGTATTTCTCTGTCTTTCTGTTTAAAAGCTAAAGTCTTTATTGGAGCAGCTTCTGTTTTTTAAATACCTCTCTAGCTAGATTTGAAATTTCATCATTCTAGTTTCTTTCTTTGGCAGGCCTTCTGCTTGCTGCAGTTTTCTCTCCCTAGTCTACACTACGGAGTTGAACAGTTGGGTATTTCTTACTTTCCTGAGCTAATTAGGGGAGCTGTGTGTTCATTAGGTTAAACTAATTGTTCCAAGAGAGCACCCTCTTGATAATGTCACTTTTGTAACCCTTTCATAATGAGAGCAGTGTGCTGTGAGCCTGCAATAAGAAAGGATAATTAAAATGGCTTATTTAACTTTCTCATCTGCCTACTGGCTGCTTTATGATGCAGTTTGCTCAGGGTCTTTCATTAAAAAACACCCAGCTACCTTTTTTTCTCTCACAGCTTTTGCCTCATAGGGAAATGGTCTGATTTGCTACCTCTTCTGCTTGCCATAAGTGAAGAATTACAGCTTTTCAGCTGAAATGTCCTGAAAATGAAGATTTTTGTGGTCTTTGATTTTTTGTTGTTTTCACTGTTACTGGCATTATAACTCATTACTTTTTTTTTTTCCTGGTTGTAGCCTGTCTTTGCCATGTTGTTTCATCTCTCTTGTTGCTTCATTTCCCTTCCCTCCTGTTCTTTCCATTCAGTCTCTTGTCCCCATGTTCACTTTCCTCTTTTGTCTAGTTCACCTGTGTGTTTTCATCCCCGATGTTGTGCCAGTCGCCTCTGCTCCCACAGCTGTGGGATCTCAGTGTATTGTGTAGTGTCAGCCTGACCCCTGCCATGGTGCTCCTGCTCTTCTCCCATCAAGTGAGATATAAATCTTTAATGCATGCTTGGACAGAGAGGAGATACCTGAGACTTCTTTATTTTTAGACTGCTGTAAAATACCCTGCTCTTCTTTTGCCAGTTTACTTAATGATAAACATTTGGTAATGCATTTTTAATATACTTAATTATTTAAAGTATCTAATATATTCTCTTTCTGATTAACTGAAAGATAAATGATACCTTTTTTGATAGATTGCATTAACTATTGAACATCACAGTTAGGGCTTTCATCAGGCAATTCTATAATACCAATAAATCAGGCCTTTTCTACATAGTAGGTTATAATATAATATAATACCTCAGTGTTTTTCTCAACAAATAGACCTTTTTGTTTCCATAGTCAGGGTCAATAAATAAGGTAACTGTACCCAGCATTGAAAAATATAGGTATCAGCTTGCATAGATAAGAGAGTGTTTTCATGGAACAAAGCAAGAGAGGCAGCTGACCAGTAGAGTGCCAAACAAAGCTGGAGCAATTCATTTTCCTTGGAAGGCTGTAAAATATTTCCAATAGCACTTGTCTCTGGCACCACTGGGCAAGGCAAAGGGGAAATGGAAAAACATAGGCATCCCTCTGACATGAGATGAGGATGTGACAGAGGAGGAATGGTTATAAAAGGTTCATGCAGAGTTGGCATTTGAAACCACCAGCAACCAAGATAAAAAATGATGATAATGAGCATTGTATGTGTGCATGTCTTAAAGACCACTGGAGTCACTGGGAAGACTGGGAGGGTCTACATCAGTCCCAGAGTGTTGTAGTGGCTTTTTCAGCCAAACACAGTGTAGAATAACCTGTTCTGTAAGGAGGGTCTCTCAGTCTGGTTTTCCCCCTGAGCTGAAGTGCCTGGAGGCCAAGGTCTGTGCCTGCTGCAGTGGATATCTCCACCTGCAGTGCCTGGCTGGCAGCTGGCAGAGCCCAGTGACAAATGAGACTTGCAGCTCCCCACTCCCAGTAGCTGGTTCGGCTGCTTCTCCTGTTTCTGTGGTAACAGCACTTGGATCAGCACAAACAAGGTAGAATGAAGATTTTAAAGCTCACTGATTTTAATGCATTGCCTTGTTTTTTAAAAAGCAGACTGGTTTCTATGGAAATTACTCTCTAGAGTCAGCCGCACTCTTGTTAATTTTAAGAGTTGAATCCGGATTTTTTGGGGGTGGTGGTGTTTGTGACCTTGACTGCTGTGTAAATCAGTACTGAATATGTGAAAACAACTTATTTAGGCATCATGCCATTTTAATACTTGATTAGATCTAACCTTTCTTTTCATGAAAATGGGAAGGGAAAGATGGCTAAGGGTCAGCAGCTGAGCACTGTAAGTCTCACCAGTTTCCTGTGGACTTCCAAGAGACCTCAAGTTTCAAGTGGCACTATCCAGAAAGCACCTACTTCCTTCCCAAGTGTCTGGATGTACAGTTAAGATAAACCTCAGTTAAGAGAGCAGAGAAAATATTTTACCTGTTTTGCCCAGTTTTTGTTTGGTTTCAAGGAGGAGAGGCTGCTGTCTGCCCAAGAGAGGAGCTCTGTTTTAGGAGGTATTCAAGAGGTGGTTCTTTCAGTGACTCCTTGGGTGTAGGTAGTTCTGTTCTGTCTTTTTCCCAGATTACCAACTGCCTCCTCTGCTGAAAAGCAACATGCTGCTTTTCTGCCTACATCCTAGCCTAGATTGTTCTGGTCATCAAGAATGGCTTGTAGGAAGAACTAAGTAATAACCCATAGGTGTATACCTACTTTCCTGAGGTTCTGGTGAACTGTAGCAAGTCTGTTTTCAATGGAAACTCTTGCCAGTCAGTAAAGCTTTCTCCTTTCCATGCTATAAAAAGAGGTGGAGTGGGTAGTTGTAATGGTTAATTAAGTGTAACTGTCAACTGACGTGAAATTATAAGGCCTGAAAATCCCTTTTAAGGGTTCCTGTTTCATTTACCATTTAAAATACCCAAGTTCATTCTACTGTTAGGAAGTATTTTTTACACTTACTCTGTTTTCCTTTTTATACCTGTAATTGTGACATATCAACATTGTTTTTAAGGAGACACATAGCATTATTGAAATAAATCCTACTATATAAAAGGCAGCCTAAACAATCCATATTGTGGCATTATTTTGGTAATGCTGCAAGATGCTATTTCTGGCCTACTGCAGCATCTTTGCTCCCTAATCAGTGTGATGTGAAGATACCTGTGTGCCATGCAAAACATGTGGTATATTTGTTAACAGAATGATAAATCAGGGAACTGTAGCTTCTTCTAATTGTAGACCCTACTTAGACTTGCAGTCCAGCTGAAATAAGATTATTTTAAAGTGCACTACTGGTAGGGAATTTTAAACTGGCAGCCTGCCTCTGATAAAGCCCTGACGTTTCAGGGTGCCATCTGGGGTGACACCAGCTTCCATCTTTCTCAAATTATATAGTTACTTAAGTAAAAATACATCTTTCAAAAGAAGTTTTGTGTTGACTGCTGCCAAATATCTTGCTTTTGTTGATCTAGAAATTTAGTTTGTATTTCATTGCATGTAGTCTGTTGCAGGTTGTTGTTTCACATAATATTTTCTGTAAAGGCAGAGAGTTCATATTATTTTTGTCCACTGTTTCTAATTATGCAGCAGTACTGTGTAGGCTAGTAATGGTGTTACAGCACTAAGGAGTCTTTTTGGACTCAAGTTAATAAATGAGGTGCCAGGGAAGCATGATTAATTTTTAAGGCCAGCTATTGCCTGTGACTCTGATGATACTAGAGGGAAGCACTGAAATGAGATGTAACCATTGCAGGCCCCATGCTACAGAACAGAATTACTTTAGATGACATTTCTTCCAGCAGTATGTGGCTGCCTCTCCAGCAGACACAGGTTTGCAGGAGTGGCCACAACTCACTTTTTTGCTGCTCTATTTCAAGGATGTTGCAACAGAGTCAGAGAGCTCCTTGGATGGCCAGCTTCTCTTAGGGGTGTGGACCTACCTGCAGTTTGATCCTAAGTAGTTTTCAACACGTAAAGCAAGTCTCAGTTTGCATATTCTCACACGAGTAAGGTCAAGCGCCCCTACAGTTTTGAAGTCCCTCAGTAAAGGCATTAGTTGCAAGTGTTATTCTTTGCCTGATTCATACTAGCAAATTAGGATCCCCTTCCCAAGTCTTAATCATAGAATAGTTTGAAGAGGACCTTTAGAGATCACCCAGTTCAATCCCTGCTCAAAGCAGGATCATCTGGAACAGGTTGCTCCAAGTCTTCTCCAGTTGTTTGATTTGCAGGTTTGCTTCTAATTAACTTTTCCCCAAACTTGTATTTTCTTTATGGGTACTTGTGCAGCTCTGAGACAGAGAAATAGAAAGAAATAGAAGGGTTTTTAGTCCTAAGTGCAAGAAGTCTTGACAGCAGCTTTGTTTTAGCAAGTCAAATTTATATACCTCTGGTATATCTATGAACAACTTTGTGAACAAGCAGATCTGGGCCCACCACTGTCTGGTCCTGGCTCCAAGTTGTATTGTCACTGCTAGAATTTTTATATTGTATGAAAATGTGTTCTAGTAAACTGCTGAGGGAACATGAGTGATTAGGTCAACGTGTTTACCCTTGCAGTAGGCTTTAATAACACATGTAGTTAAAGTAGCTCCACTGACAAGCAGTAATTCATTAAAGCTGAGCAGTCAGTCATGTATCCCAGTCTGAATCCAAGCCAGGACATTCAGCAGTTTTGATGCTGTGGGCCAAGTGCCAGTTTGGGGTTATGTCTGGAGCAGTCACACTGATCTCCAGGCTTGCATGGAGTCACCAGTAATACAGAGTTAAGCACCATGGCTCATGTGTGCACAGCAACAGAGAAATGTCACTTGGACATTTGGATGAAGTTGTCCTATGAACAGAATATACACTGCTCCCAGAAGGATACCTGGACTTTAGGTAATCAACAACCTCTGTAGTCACTGCAGGTGGTGTCATTGTTGCTTTCCTTAGTTATGTGCTTCTTGTTTTTGTGAGAGGTCTGTGGAGCCGGTGGGAATTTGACACTGGTGGTTTGCTCAGGTAGAATGTCTGTAAGGCTGTGCTGGTGGGAAGTTCTCATAGTAGAAAAGAAGGAACTGCATTCTCCATCCGTTAAGAGAAGGAGCAGGAAAGCATACATGAGGAAAAGCAATTTATACAGTTTTATGCTTTGTTTTCTGCAGCTTTCCAGAGCCACAGAAATGCAATAATTTATGTAACAGTAATTTGAGACACTAGAGAATCTTAAAGAAAATCCTCTACGTAAAACTTACCAGTAAACAGACTAAAGAAAATCTGCTAAGAAGTTCCCTTTTGACCAGATATTCTAAAATAGTGTACTGGATCACAAAGAGCGTGTGATAGACTTGCATTCATTATAGATGTTAAGTTTTCTGCCAAGTGAGACTTGGTTCTAATAACATGCTGCTACTGTGACTGTCAGGACTGCTCTTTACATCACTGCTTTCAAATATATTTCTTTTTTTGACAGCATTTTAAATCTTGACTCTTTTACCCTTGAACATTCAAACTTAATTTTTATGTTCTTGATCCAAGTAATGAAAGACTTTCTTGGGCCATTATGAGAGACAAAATGCAGCAGAGATGTGCAGTGTTCATCCCCAGCTGAAGAGCCAGCCACTCATCCTAGAAAATAGAGCTGAGATTTGGGCATCTGTGGTGGATATGTTTACATCACAGAATCACCATGCCAAAGGATGAGGGGGTTGATGGGATCAGGTCTGCTGCTCTTGTTTATAAGCAGTGATTTAGTAATGCTGCGGACTTCTTTCTCTAGAATGTGTGGGTTTTTTTCAAGCAGTGCAGTCTGTTAATTTTGGCAGCCTGTTTTGATAATAAAGGTGCCTAAGCAAAACTTCTTCAGAATTTCTATTTACTCTATTTGTTCTTATTTTTGGGGTATAATGTAGGACTGAAAGAGTGATATGTTCTCTTGTTATTTCTACCCCATCTCCTTCTAGATTTCAGATGCTATAGACCATCTTCAAGAAGCCCTGCAACTGTGCAAAGATGACATGAATTCACTTCATCTACTGGCCCTCCTCTTTTCAGCTCAGAAGCACTATCAGCATGCACTGGATGTTATCAACATGGCTGTTGTTGAATACCCAGAAAGCTTTAGGTAAGAGCTGTTGCCTGGTGTTGGCATCCAGTCAGGAATGAGCTGCTCACCAGCTGTTGTTCTCAGTTGTACACAAGGAGCCTGTTAAATCACAAGTGTTACAGGTGTGTCACTCCCCTCCTGGGGAGGGTATTCTTTTACTTTCTGTCTTCACAGTCTTTCTGTAATCCTTACACTTGCTTTCTTTTCCAGTATTTGTTCTTCTGTATTGTGATGAGGGTGTTGTTTCCTGTAGTTTTTTGTATTTCACTTTAGATGTGGAGAAATGAGGGTGAGACAGCTATGACAGTGTCTGTATCACAAGTAATTTTATATTTGGTGACTCCCTGGTTAAAAACAAATTTTTCTTGCAATGACCATTGTTTTGATGATCATCTATGACACAATTTGCTACAATATGACATCTGGGGGAAAAGATCAGTTGAAAATCACAAGCTGTGATAATGTATAGCTGAGAGGAAGGACGATTTGCCTGCCTAGGAGTAGGTTTGAATCAGCACAGACTTCCTGGAGCCAAAGGCTTCCACTGTTCTCTGTTTGAGTCAGACCCTCATCCATCTGAGGGAGGTAAATTGAATTCCATGCAATTTACTGTCATGACCTTTCAAAACAAGGAATTTGTCTGTTCTGTGCAAAAATTAAAGCTACTCTAGTATCATCTGGTGATTTCATACTAGCTGAGTTTCTCAGCCAAACTGCAGAAAATCCTATTGCATTGCTGGAAAACCAACTTTCATTTGGAATTTCCTGTACTTAAATAGTGTTCTAAACCTGTGCATCATTGCCTTTAGATAGCCTGCATTCTCAGTAGCAAGAGAGAGCAGCCTCCACAGGTTTAGTCCAGAGACTAAGTGATATATTGTATAAACAGAGCAAAGGTGGGTCATAGGAAGATTGAGGCTGTGTAAATGTGAGCTTGAATGCTTTAGGATCTTTCGGTGCTGTATCAGCATATAATGTTTTTATTGCAAACTACATGTTGCCATTTAAAATAGTTTTGCTGCCTGTGCTTTTGAGGTTTGTTGCTTTGTGTATGTGAGGAGCTAAGACTGCACTTCTTTGAGAATAAAGTGGAAACTAGTAATGGAAACACTTAAAATGAAGCCAGCTCTGCTCTTTAGATTGTGAACATAGGTATGACTGAAGCAGGAAATAGCCCAGTGGCTGCTGAATTGTGTTTTAGGGTTTTAAAGTAATAAACAAAGTAAAAACCCTTCATACAGTGAAAGGTCACATTGTACTGTTAGAGATTAGATGTTTGTTGAAGACTACAAAAACACCTAAAGATACACAAGACAGAGGAAGAGGTTGTTTATGTCAGGAGAAGAGTGTTTGCCTTGTCCAATTGACCAACTGGTCCATCATGTCCTGGATCTTTCCCCCAGCAGTTACTGATTATTTATGCTTCAGGGGAGGACAAAACATAGCAAGCATTGTATGTGAAGTAGCTTGGAGGGCTGCTGGGTGGGTTCCTTTGTGCTGTCTGGTAATCTGATTTCCCCAAAGCTGATAAGACTGTTATCTCTTATGTTTCTGTGGATGTGAATTTTGATGTGCACAAAGACCTTTGCTAAGGAGTAGCAGAATTGGAGAATTGGCTGGTTTTGGTAGAAGCAATTTAGTATTGGTAGTGAAGGCCCAGGTTCATGCTTGCCCCTAGACACAGCCTTGCTAAAGTGTGTGCCCTTGGAAGGGCCCCTCTTTGCTCCTTGCACGCACAGGGGAGTGTACCAAGGCTGACAGGGAGACTCATTCACAGGTACATATGGATGGAGGAGTAGGGGCTGGCTTCTTGCCTCTGCTGTGTGACTGCCCTGTCTCCATGTGGGTCTTTTTCTTAACCAGCCAGCAAATAACTCGTGAGTGAGGGAATGGAGAAAGAATGTCAGAGTTCCAAGGCAAGAAAAAAAAAATAAAAGCTTAAAAAATAGAATTAAACAAGTGTTTCTGAAAAAAAGTAACGAGAATCCAATAAAGAGGGAGAAAGCAAAAATAACAGAGTACATCTATAGTTTGTACCGAATTTGGAACCATTTTAGGCTTTCTAGTGCAGTTTGTGCTAGAAGGGCTTTACTGCTTTGTGAAACCTCTTTGAAGGGACAAAGACCTGATGCTATTGTGTGTTTCCACTTGCTACTGCCTTATAGAAAAATGCTAATTTTACTACTGTATAGAATGACTACAAGATGTTTCATGTAAATAGTGTAGGCAAGTTCAACTGCATGATTTTAAAGCTGTATTTAAAAGTGGTTGGTTATTTTTCTCAATTCACATTTATATGAACCAGGCAACTGTGTAATGTGGTGCCTGGGGGCTCCCTTCCTAATGACATCTCTTTTTTGAAGCACAGTTTGATGGCATGTATCAAGAAAGCTGCATTAAAGGACTTTAGGGCTCTGTAGATGGCAGAAAAAAACCCCAGAAGCATTACCAAGCGGTATATCCTAAATAAAAGAAAGCGTAAGATGTAAAAAATTAAGGACTTAGCTGACCCAAACTACAGCCATCTCATACTGTTTCCCTAGTCTCTGTATGTAATTAAAATGAGTTAGTTGGGTTTTTTTTGTTTTTTATTATATTCTTTTATTACAAATTTTAAAGAAAAAAATTTTTTAGGATAGTTCATGTGGTTGGCTGTTGGCTGAAGCAGTTGGAAAAAATGTACTGCATTGCTCAGCTAACACACAACATCCTTTGGCATGAACTTCATACACTGACCCAAATATGTCTGAAAGTGCCCCTTGTTCGTGTGTTTAAACATTTACTGTACATTTCAGAGGTTGATGTGGTGTTCAGGGAGGAGGGATGTGAAGTGTAGGCACTGAATACAGTGAAAGATGCAGTGGTTTGGACTGAGCTATTGAAGAGCTGGATATCCAAAAGGCACAAAATGAACTTGGGAAGATGAGCTCTTGAAAGGTGGCCTGTAGTAACAAACCCATTACATTCCAGTCACTGAATCACTGACTGAATTTGAACACTTGAATGTACTGTCAAGCAATGACAGAGGAAGACTTCATAAAAGAAGAATGAGAGCCAACTCTGCTGAACATATTGCAAGCTGGGCTGAGCCAGAAGAAATACACTGTCTTGCCCTGACTGTAAAAGATAGAAATAGCAACCTTTACATGGAAGGTATCATCTGAAAAGTTGCTGACACTTCTCTATGGGGTGAGACTGCCCAGGATGAAACTTAGTGATTTTACATTCTGTCAATGATGGTATGCTTTTAAAAGAAGCAAATGAATGCTGCACCAACAGTTGGCTTTGGTATATATTTTCAAAAGGACTATATTCAGCACATTTGGATAAGAAGACTCCTGTTAGCATCAGGTGTCTCCCCTCCAGGTCAGTAATGCTAATCATAAGCCTTTCTGAAGATGGGTTCTTGTAATTTTTTTCCAGCTCAAAGGCCAGCCTTTGGGCAGTGTTCTAGCTGAGTCTGGCAGTGATTACCTTCACAGGCTTGTCTCAGGGAAATAATAATGTTAGTGAACACTCCTTTGCCCTCCAGATGATCTTCTTAAAGTAGTTCTTTGTTTATTTAGAAAGAATTTTGCTTTTTAAAGTTTGTATCCATCTCATAATGTTCCATGCAGAAGTCCCATGGGTCTAGCAGCCTGCAAAATCCACCACAGAGCTTAACATCCTCCTTTATTTTCAGCTAGTAATATTTCCTCCTTCCAGTTTTGCTTGTATAAAAGTGGTTTTGCCTTCCTAATTCAGCCTCTCTTCCAGACTACTATTTTGCTCTCTGGTCATCTTTTAGCTTTAATTGGTTAGCTTCCAGCATTAGAAAAAAATGAATGTCTATACCAAGTATAAAGCTGGAAATAGCATATCCATTTTATGGATACTCTGTTGCTCCCAGACTGCTTATCCAAACCTATTCTGTTGTTCACTGGGTAGTTTCATGTCTCCTGGATGGCTCTCCTTTATGTTAGAACAATGGAGTCCTCTGTCATAACATGTCACACCATCTAACTGCTGCCCAATGTGATGGTGAATATTTTGTTAAATTGTCATGTCTCTGTGGCAGTTCTGCTTGTTGCACAGGGGTTGTAACTCTCTTAAATGAACACATGTTAATATTCCTGCTCTTTCTAGACTGTAAGTCACTATTCTGTTGCCCTCAGAGTTTGTCAACTAGTTACAAAGAGAAATAACAAAACTTCTGGGAAGTACTGCTGTTCTACGCATAAAGACTCAAAAAGAAACATGTGGGTTGGTATTCTGGAGCAATGTAGGTGTCAAATGCAGGTGCTTTTGTTCTACAAAAAGCTAGCACAAGAGTAATTACTTTAAATGGAGTGAAAAAAAGGGCTCAAAATGCCAATAAATATTAAATGTGTATCTTGGAAAGTGTTTATAAAAAAGGAAGTAAATTCTGCTTGAGGAATTGTGCATGTTGTATTGATGTTGTTTTAGCAGAAATGGTTTATTTGTTACAGCCAGCCCTGAAAATATAAAGTTCTCTTCTAGACTAGAAGTGGTTTACTGACAGAAAATGTCCTTGATTTCATCACTGCTACATTAATTTCATTAAGGCCATGTGAAATAATCGTCTGGCAAGATTTATTTGTCATAGTCTGGTGCAGACTTACTGTGGGGAGAGCTATTTTGTGGAATATAAGCAATGTCATTTACCAGGTGCTTCCATTTGCCTCAAAAAAACCTCTCCAACCCTGATGTAAAATCAGGATCTCAAAATGCAGGATTAAACTAATTTCTAGTTTGAATTCTCTTTCCATTGCTTGTCAAGCTCTTTCTTGTGTATTGAAAATAAACAACTCGTGCCTTCTTTGAGCCGTATCTTTTGGGCAGTGGTAGAGTCCAGCGGTGCTGTTGACAGCAGTAAAGTAGATCTGTGTTCTTGCCTGTAATCTTCATGGAGAACACAGAGCCAGTTGTCCCTCAGTCAGTGGTTTGCCCACCTTTGTGTTGTGGCTGATCCACACTGCCACTGTTAAGTGAGGATAGTCGTGGCCCCTACCCCTCCC